CGAAAAGTAATCTCCATATGCTGGACATGTAGCATAAAAAGAAATATCTTGTTATATGTAGCTACTGAAATATTGGGGTTCTTTGTTAGTATAAGATAGCTTATCTGATTCTGAGTAATGCATATAATGATTATAATTCTATCAGGTTCCAGAATTCAGTGTTTGATGTTTCATATTAAAAATATACTCTACTAAGCACTCTTTATTCAACTGTCTCCTTGTGCTGAAGCAATTCCAAGGGCTAAATATGCCCTATATTTTCATCTATTGCCTGTAAAAATCTTGTTAAAAGGATGATTCGTAGTCCTCCTTGGCTGGAGAAAATCAGAGCCTAGAAGGGTAAAAGAGGAGTTAAAGAGAAATAAAAATTAATAGTTCTTAAACCTTTTATGCATTAGAATCACCTGGAAAGTTTATTTCTAGTAAATCTGTCCCACTCTAGAGATTATCATTTAGTTAATCTTTCATGGGGTCAATAAATATGCATTTAAGTATAAATCCAAAATGGATCTGATATGGATGCATAATGGAATACACTTTAGGAATCCTTGGACCAGGCTTCTTAAAGCCTTTATTCTTTTATAATGTGAATAATAATATTTTAAAATGGAGAAAAATTTGAAAGACTTTTCAGAAGTAGATGTTTGACCCATGGAATATCTTATCAAAATTATCAAGGACATAATATTAAAATGCAAACTTCTAGATAATCTCTAGTAACTAATAAATCAGCACTTTTGAGGAAGGGACTTGCCCTGGGGTCTTTATTGTAAGATAGCCCCAAATGAATCGTAGACACATGAAAGTTTGAAACCATTGCCAAAGGGATTATTTGTCCTTCTGCAAATATTTTTATGATTAGTCCAATTTATTATTCCTGACTTTGGCATGAACATTAGTTCAGGAACATTAGTTTTATAAACTCCTTCAACTCTTCACACTATAAAAAGATATATTATTACTATAGTTTTTACTAGTTGTAAGAGGAGATAACTGAAACTCACAGTATAAATCACAGCTGCTAAAATATTAAATTTGTTTTTCAAGGAAAATGGTGAACACATTTTTATTTTCCCTTAAGAGAAATACAAGTTATTTATTTTGGGATAAAAGTTATATAGCATGAGCAGAGAGCCCAGAACACACACACACACACACACACACACACAAAATGACTCTACTTTTAATTGCTTAAACAAATGTTACAATCTTTAAAAATTGAATTGAATTATATAAAATCCTAATATGATAGGGCCAGAAAACACATCAGAAAATGAATATGGCATTTTGTGTGTGGGTTTACATTAACTGCCATTTTTATCTGAATGCATAATAGTTCAGATCAATTAGTTCTAATTAGGTGTCTTAGTAATAGAAATACTTCCATTTGAATCGTACAGGAGTAATTCTAGAATTGGCACCAGATGAGGTGTAATATGCTTATATTAGAAGCCCAACCCTGTCACTAATTGGCAGTCATTAGAAAAATCACTTAACTTGGAAAATAAGTTCCTGTTCTGTACAGCTTTTATGCATTTTGTTAGAGTAAAAAAAATAGTGATGTATAGAAAATCAATTTCTAAGCCATACATTATCATGCAAAGGTAAATTTATGCATCCATGAAAGTGATATAGTAGTGGCCAACACTTACTGTACAATTAAAATGTGCCAGGTACTGTGCTAAGCTCTTACATGCATTATATTTTTAATGCCCACAAATCTCAGTAAGGTTAACAATAATATCTTCATTTTAGCTAGCAGGAGATTAAGGTCCAGATAGCCCATAGTCAAACTGTTAGGAGAGAAGTGGGACTCACATTCATCTCTACTTGACTGAAAACGTGTGTCCCTAAATAGGTAATCTTTCTATGTAAATAATATCTATTTAACTTACAATCCTATTTCAATTATAAATATATATGACCCATGAGAAAATTTTATTTTATTACCATTTGCCTCACTGAAATATATGGCACTGAATACTCCATTCAATTGTTGAATGTTGGGTAAGGTACTAATAACATAACTTTCTGGACTTTGTTTATGAAATAAAAGTATGGTCCGTTATATTTTTTTTATATCTGTATAGTTAATGCCAAAAAGCATGACTTTATACTGCTTACACTGTACTTATACTGAGAACATCACAATTATATCACTACTTGTTCATAAGAGCTCATGTTTCATTTTCATACCTCTGCCAATAGTCTTTTAATTTATTTTTCTTCACTAAAAAACAATCCTATATAATAAAAGTGTAGTATGCAAATTGTCCCCTGAACTAGGAGTTCATCTGGGAGTTTTAACAGGGGGCAGGGCCAGTGTAGGGAAGGGAGGGAGGCCCTAGTCAGCAGCCTGCAGCTGGCAGCCTGCAACCAGCAGCCACTAAATACCCTACCAGTGCATGAATTTTGTGTACGAAGTTTCTAGTTCAGAAATAAGACTGATTATGGATAAAAACATTCTCTTCCTTCTTAGGATATGGAGTCACTTTCCTTACCCATTATTCACAGATTTGGAGAGAAACTGCTGCCTTCCAAGTGAAGATCCCTTAACACACATCAAAGGTGGATCAATGTCTTCAAGAAGGAATAAAGCATATAAAATGGGTTGTACTTCAATCATTACCTGGTAGGTTATTAGGTAAAGTGACCTGTCATTTTTCATTAGAAGTTCTATGATTAGTCACATTTACTCTGGAGGGTCCTTATTGTTTCATCTTTTTTTGTTTGAACAGGAAAAGGACCTAACAGTTTTTGTTTCATCAGAGAAGAGATCTGCTTTTCTCTCTAAGAGAAGTATGGAGATAAAGCTTGCTGTTTTTTTTTTCTCCACCCTTCATTCACAATAGGAGAATGTAAGGCCTGATTCTTATTGGGCTTTAGCTCTCTAGTACTTAAGACTAATAAAGACTATAGTCTTTCTATTCTGTTTCTTTTCAGGAGGAGTAGATTGTGCTTTGAATTTTCTTACGATAGACTCACCAGACAGGAAACCTCTACAGAGAAAATGGAAGGCACAGTATTTTCAAAGGACTGGTAGGTTAGATCAGTCCTATTCTGAGGGTTCAGATATTTTCAATTTAGGAAGAAAATAAGACCTCTTATTGTTTGCTTCTCTTTTCTCTTATCTAAGATTGCCAGGGCATTTGGATTTAATTTTTTGGGTGAATATTGTAGTTCTTAAATTACAAACTAGTGGACCTCAGGCTGAATATGTGTTCATGTATTTTGGTTGGTTCTTTGCTTTCTTTCTTTCTTTCTTTTTATTTATTTATTTATTTATTTATTTATTTATTTATTTATTTAAAGTTTAAGCCATCTCAAGGCCCTGGCCAGTTTGCTCAGTGGCTAGAGTGTTGGCCTACAGATCAGCGGGTCCCAGGTTCGATTCCAGTCAAGAGCACATGCCCAAGATTTCGGGCTGGGTCCCCAATGGGGGCATGCAGGAGGCAGCCAATCAATGATTCTCCTCTCACATCATTAATCTCTTTCTCTCTCTCTCTCTCTCTCTCTCTCTCTCTCTCTCTCTCTCTCTCTCTCCCCTCTGTCTCTCTCTCTCTTCCTCTCTGAAATTAATAAAAATATTTCAAAAGTTTAAGCCATCTCATAAATAAGAAATTACATAAAAATCTGAACTTTTAGATTTTTCTTACAATCCCTGTTAGGAGAGAAGTGGGACTCACATTCATCTCTACTTGACTGAAAACGTGTGTCCCTAAATAGGTAATCTTTCTATGTAAAGATTATATAGAAATCTGCCAGCAATGTGGCTAAGTCAAGGACAAAATGAATATGGGGCTTAGTAGAGGCCGTTCCCTTTAAAAAAACAAACAAACACAAATACTCTTCAATTATCTACATATCCAATAATCTATATTTTCTCCTTGACTGGTGTGTCAACTACTATATAGCTCCTACAATTGTTTTATAGTGTTTAGAGTGAAGAACCATGTAACTGTACCTATGTCTCTATATATGAGCCCTTCGTGAAGAGTGTGTATATCATGTTTATATATGGCTCCTTTTTCCTTTTTCTTCCCTTTTGATTCTTGTAGGCACTTAAGTTGATGACCCCTTCTCAGAATCCTGAATGGAAAGAAGGGTTTCATGCACAAAACTCTACACTAAACCTCTAACAATACTGAATACTTTTTTCTGCTATCAGTTCTAAAAATATAATGAGATTTTTTTTGTGTGTGTAAACTTCTATTTCATTTGAAACATTTTCTCACTTTCTTTTGGCCCTTTATCATATATCCCCTAATATATATTAAAAAGAAACTGAAGAGATATCTCAGCTTTCCTAACATCTAAACCAAAGCTTGATTTCCTGAAATGGAATGAATACTCTTCACATATGAATTCAAAAGCCATAAAAAGTAGAGAAGAGAGAGAAAAGGGGGTAAAAACATCTTAGTACAAATGAAATCACATAAAAATATAACTTTATTGATGCTAACAACTTGAGGCAGTTTAGAGAACACTAGTTTACAGTGAGACAGAGAACACCATGCATCCCTGTGTGGGTATGTTTGGTTCTCCCAGGGAAAATGTGTTATAGGTTTTCTGTTGCCTTTAGTCCTACAGCTTCCACTAGAATAAACCTCCTTCCATAATGCTCCTTCCATAGTGTTACGGCCCAAGTACACCTGACTGACTCATAACATGTGAGGTTGATCAACAAGCTCAAGGAAAACATTTAAATTCTTTGTTTAGTTTCAAATCATTGGGGGAGGACAAGGATGACTTTAGGTGACTTGCACATACTGACCTTCTAGGGGCCAAGAAGAGTGTGCTCTTCTGAGGCCATTAGAGGCAATAATTCTGGATGCAGGTTCTTCAGGTCTTTTGTCTCCTAGAAATAAATAGTTTATAAATCAATTAAGGGGGAACACAATCTGCTAGTCCATTAGTTGATAAAAATGTCAATTATTCCCATGATTTCATGATACAAAGAGAGCTGGTAGGGGCAGCAGCCACCACCCACCACATGGTAATTATAGGATATAAAAGTCATTGTTATTAGATAAATCCGTGAAATGGTGAAGAGCAAGGGCTGAGATCTGGGGAACAGGGCTTTCCAATCGGGTACCATTTTGTATCCATTGAGTGTCTGACTCTCGGGGAGCAGGCTTACAGAGGTGTGTCTCCCATTGCGGCTGCGTGTGGATCTCTGCCCGGCTCTTGCTCCTAAGGTGACTCTCGCCTTCACAGTAGGTGACACAGCAGCGACAGGCTGCAGAAGGTTTTCCTCTGTGTTTAGACATTGTGCCCGAGGCAGGAGAGGTACCTGCAGCCCTCCCTGAGCTCTGGAGTTCTGGGGGCTCTTTCAAACGACTTCTCCGCCTTTGAACATGGTCCAGACTGATGTCAGACTGAGAAGAACAGCTCTCGTTCCAGCCAGAGCTGGCACTCAGACTTCTCAGGGGAAGAGCTAACCGCAACGCCTTCCAGAATTTAGAGCCAGAATGTTTGGATTTTTCTCCTTTCCAGCTCACAAAAGACACAGACTCCTTCAGCTGCAGGATGCCTGGGTGTGGATGCTCAAGGGGACGATACTCAACCACAATGAGCTTGGTGGCAATGGAGTTCTGGCACATGACACCCAGTTTAAATTCCAGCATGCTGATGCTCTTTTCTGTCACATAGTCTGGGCTCAGGACAACAATCATCCTTCGGCTCCTCTGAATGAAGTCAAAAACTGCTTCCACCGTATCTACAGGAAAATGGAAGGATAGCATAATGCCTAGTGAAGACATAAATATGTTTCAGCTTATCATTGTCTCTCCTACAAAGGACAAGCAATGAATAAATCTTCAAAGATGAGAAATTAACCACTTCTAAAAATAGAAACTCATTTCAGCTCCGTTTGTAAAATATTTCCTGGTGTGAAATATTCTTCTCTATCACCGTTATCTGGTGGTACTAGATCAGCATCCCTAAATATTTGAAATATTGAAACTATTGTGATCTCACTGTATTTTATTCTCATACGTAGGTAAAATAACTTCAAGATTTTTACTTTATTACTCATTTGACATGGTATCAAGTCTGTTCCCTACTTTTAGCATTTCCCTTTGTATAATATTCAGTTTATTTATGTGTTTCTTAAGAATAGTATGAACAGGACTGATCCAGACATAATCTAATTCCTAAAGAGCAAAATGAATTACCATCTTCTAAGATTCATAGTTATATATCTTGATACTTAATATTTTTGATACATCAGATAGTCTTTAGTACAGACCTTGTTGTCAACCCAATTTCCTTTTTTTAAAAATATGTGTGTGTGTGGTTTAACAATAAATTAAAGGGGTAAGAGCACTGACAATAGGTAAGAACCAGTCTTAATTAAGTTTTCTGGCAAAGCATTCAATTCTAATAGTTAGTGAGGTGGATTTGAACAGATCCCAATAGGAAAATTCTTGAGATAAATGCAATGCTCAATTCACTGTTAGATTTAAGAGCATAAACAATGTTATTTTCTGAAGGAAAGTAATTCCAAATATATAAATCACAGCCACCGACAACTTTGAAAACAGGTGCTACCGACATGTTGAGTACCTGTGTTTGGGGCCAGGGGTATTTCATGAAGAGACATTTTAGTTTGTGAAGCCAAGCTTTAAAGTTTGCAATGAAATTGATCATAGTGAATTTGACAGGAATGAGGGAGCTAAGTTTTTTTTTTTTTTTTTTTTTTTTTTTTTTTTACCAGATTATTTCTTTTCAATTAGTGAATTTAACATGATTTTGAAGGGAAATTGGAATAGTAATTTTTAAGACCTTTGAACTGAATTTATCAAGAGAGCAGAGTGTTTTGAGAATTCTTGTTTTAATCTTGTAAGAAAAATCTATCACTTATCTTCAAAGGCCATGTGCACGTGCAGGCATGTTTTGTAAACACCTTTGTTCTGTCTAGTTCCACTCAGAATCTTATGTAGCCCACCTTTCATAAACCTGACACTGTGAGAGAAGGATGTTTACTGCTTCTTCTCTATCTTGATAAATACAATATACCCTTAAAACAACATGGATAGTTTTTCATCATGAAAAACTTATGCACTCAAATCATGAGTGTATGTGCATGCGTGCATGCGTGCATTTGTGTGTGTGTGTATTTCTGTTTGAAAGAGGGAAATACTAAAGAAATAGATATGCATGGTGATATTCCAGATTTTGAGGAATGGATGTAGGGATGCCTCTCAGGTGGTGGTTGGGCTATCTGTACCTAGATCTCTTCACAAGGTACTTTAAAAGAAGCTGTATCCTTTATGGCATCTTACAGTTTGTCAATACTTCCTGTCTGAGGATGCAAATTATTTTTTATTTTAATGCTGAAGATTATTGGAGAGGAAGTTGTAAAATGGGTCTTTATTCTGTTTGGCTCAAAAAAAATTGTGTCTGTAGGATGATGAGATTGGCTTTTTGTGTGATAGTAGATTGGTTTTCAAATAATTTTCAGGACTAGAATTCTTCAAGGAAGAAGATTCCTGCTGGTAAAATTCATATCCTCTCTGAAATTCCCCTACTATTAAACTAGGGCTGCAATTTTGTTCTTTGACTAGGTTATAGGTGTATGAAACAGTAACAAGTTTCTCTCTCTCTCTCACTCTCTTTCTTAAAACTTGAAGTGTAATGAAATATGAGGGGAGGGACAACTAATTTGGAAGATAGATCTGAATTTAAATATTGATCTCTCCAATTATCTGTTTTTATCTTAATATCTTTAATTATGAATTTATCCATCTATAAAATACATAAAGTGAGACCATATTTGGAAGATTGTTAAACAAATTAAAGATACCAAAATGTAAATTTCTACTAAAAACAATATTAAAATAAGGTACAGACTGATGTTAATTGAATCTGAATCAATTTTTGATGGTAACTCTATAGAATCATCTTAGTATGTGAATTTATGAATCATAAATTTAAAAAATTATTTCTATTCAGTTTTAAATACAGGTGGATAAAGAATGTTATTGAAACACTTAATCTTCCTGTGGTGAACAAACTGTGCCTCGCGAGCCACATGCGGCTCTTTGGCCCTTTGAGTGTGGTTCTTTCACAAAATTCCAAGGCCTGGTCGAGTCTATTTTGAAGAAGTGGCATTAGAAGAAGTTTAAAAAATTTCAATCCTTGTACTGTTGACATTTGGCCCTGTTGACTAACAAGTTTGCCAACCACTGTCCTAGCCCATTGTTAAAAGTATTGCTATCTCTTGGGTAGAAACAGAGAAAGAAATAAGACAGGCTAATTGTTGAATAGTATCATATTGTGACTTTACTTGTGTCAAAGACCTAGTGACAATAGTGAATGACTGAATAAAGTACTTGAGTGTTATTAACAAGGAATAACCAGGTAACTGCAATAACCAAACTACTAATACGGACACTGTTATTATATTGAAACTAGTCACCACTATGTCCTAGGAGATCATTTAATATGTCCAAGGTTGGAAGAAACTTCAGACTCATCATCACTTAATCTAATGAGGAAAGACCAAATATTATATGATTCATTAAGTTTCTGCTTGTACACCTCTAGTAATGGGGGCAAGGCTTCTCCAAAGATAGTGAAATATATTACTGTTCAATTCTGCTGTTAAATCATTTCCCAATTGAGTAGAAGTCTGCTTCCATATAATCCCCATCCATTGATCCTAAGTCTTTAAAGTTAGTTTTGAAAGTGAAAACATTTTCAGTAGAAAAATGTTTACTCATCTAACCAGTTTATTTATAAGAACTCAATAAATATCCTTAGAATAAGTGAATAGGAAAACAATTTATAATAAGAAGGCTTCCTTGTTTTTATGAATTTAATATTAACTCAAAAGAAAATACATTTCCAAATATTTATCTGATTTATTTGAAATGTTATATAAATGAATTTTTGATTCATTCATGCAATGTATCTTCTATTAACTAAATTCATAGTATCAATTAACTTATTTCATTACAAAACAAGGAGTTGCATTAAAGTCTATAAAAGGTAAGATATTTCTATAAACTAACCAAGTTCAAAGTTGAACAAAAAATAACAGACTATGTTTTTGTTTTGGAAAAACTTCTCTCTCCCTCCTCCCTATTTTTCTCTTGCTTCTTTTATTCCTGTATCTATGGCTATCTTAATATAGGCACTCACACATACGCATACACACACATACACACACACACCTAGAATATTAGTGTCATGCATTTTACTTAAGTAACTCTTTTACTCAATGTAAAAAAAATTCCTTGAGATGAAATTCCCTTTTTTCATATTTCTCTCAAAAGAGAAACCTAATTAATGTAATATATAATTTTTACATGTATCATTATTTTTATTCTCATTTGTTATGCCCAAATATGAAAACAAAGACATAAAACACATGCACAAAATAAAATTCAAAGCTGAAAATAAATGGTTTATTTTTAAAATAAACAAATTTACAAATCAAATAAAAATGGAAAATACAAACATTTATGAATAAAATAAAAAGGTAATCTTAAAATATTAATACCTATGGAAAGAAAATATATAATTAACAAGTGGAGTGATACTTTTAGCTCCCCAACACAGTGGAATGCTTGTTTATTAGAATCCTGGAGAATTATCTAAGTTATAATACAGAAGAGAATTAAATAAATTTTATACTATTGTGTAGTTAGATATTCTACATCCTGGTCCTTTGTTAACTTGGGTGCAGAAGGTCTTTACATTCTATATCTGAAACCATTAAGGTTTTTTATAACCTTAGGGACAAGTTTTATTTTGGTTTAACACGAGAATGAAAATTCTTCCTGCTCTCTAAATTATGATTCCCCAACTCATTTAAATATTCTGTATTAGTCATCTTGTGGGACATATAAAAACAAACAAAAAATCTTGAAAAATTATCTTGGAATGAGACACATCATGGAAATTTGAGGTGCTTTTAATTTTAGCATTTAGAAAAGCTCAGTACCAAAGACAAGAATATAAATAGGGGGGAAATGTCAAGATGCTTCTAGGGGCACAGAACAGCAGTTGGGATAAATATTAAATTCAAAAGTGCAAAAAGAATGCAGTATTGGCAAGAGAATGGACCCTTGGTGATGGGATTGCCCTCCCTCCCCATTTACCTAAAGCTAATGCAAGAATTTGAATTACAAAGCTTATCTGGAGTCAAGTCTCCCTGGTCTTGTGAATGAAGGATTAATAGGAGGAGTAATTGTGGTTTTTAGCAAGAAAAGCATTAATAAGGCTAAAAATGTTAGATTCCAGAATAACTTCTAGAATAGTTTTATAGTAAAAAATCTATGCTTTTATTACTAAAATAACCAATGACTCCTCTATAAAGAAATCTGCTAAAGGACTTTAAAAGTAAGAGATGGTTTTAGAATTGCTTAATAACACTCATACTACTGAATAAGGATTTCCTTAAATTATGAGTAATGGTGTTTCATACTCAGGCTCATTTATAGGCTTTTTCTCTTTTCTTTTTTTTTATTACTCAATAGTCAAATAGAGATTTATTTCTCCAGTAGTTGAGCACTAAGATTCACATAGCTTAGTTGTTAAATATATGTCCCTCAAACATAGTAGATGATCAAATAATGCCAGATGATCAAATAATGTTATTGCTTAGCAGTGACCATGGAAGATCTGGGCACAACAGAGTCCACTGAACCCAGCTCTAGCAAGAGTAAATTATGCACACTAATTTAGGAAAGGCAAGAACTAACAACAGCTACCACTTACAATCTGTGAAATCACAAATAATGTTAATGTGTAGAAAACACTAACACAAAAGCATTACAGTAAAAACAATTTAAAAACTGGACAATAATTCCATAGCTTGTAGTACTGTGATAATAACTAAAGTAATATGCATATATATATGTATATATACATGTATGTATATATATACATGAAAATATAATTCATGCATGTATATATGCATATATAATTCATGTGTATATATATGCAATTTAGATACACTTATGTATATAATTTTGTGTGTATATAGAAATATATGCACATATATAATATATGTATTTATATTTCACTTGTAAACTCTAGACTAAGTTTTCACTTTTCCAAGTCTTAAAACAGTGAAACTTTACTAAAAAACAAACTAAAACAAGTTACATGACAGTGATCTTTCAGCTTACTTGTTTGGAGTGAGTGAATAAAATAGGGACAATGAAGGCTTCAGTTAATGCTTTTAGAGTATTAATGCTAAAAGCAGCTCTCAAGGTCACTGAATTTGACTTCCACTCTTTAAAATGAGAAGACAGAAATAAGTGATGAGAAATCACTTTCATAATATTCACATTAATAAGGCTGAGATTAAAAGACAAATGGCCAAACGCCCTACTCTGCTAATGCCCTCAAAGAAATTTGCCATTATCTCACTCTATTAGCACCATTAGGAAAAGCTTCCTATCAGACTGAACCAAATGTGGGACCACCTGTAAACTCCAGGTGTCCAATATAAGCAAATTACAGTAGAGAGGGAAGATGGAATGATAAACATGGGTTGACCTACATATATTCAGAAGTTTACTATAATAAAAAAATTTATATTTTTCAAACTGAAAAACATACCATCAATTACCTGAGATAGAGGACACTTAGGGATATAATAGGAGAAAATGCAGGCAATTTTTAATCAATTATAAGAATATTTAAATCAATTATAAGAATAATTTTCAGTAATACTGCTTTGTATCATCCAAGTGGATGTCAGTCTTACTGTGAAGGTTGTGGTATAGCAGAATGAGCAAAAGATATCCTTATCCAGCTAAAGTATATTTAAACACTGATTATCTTTTTAATAGATGAGAAATAATAAAAGAAGAAAACTATACTTGGAAACTCATAATGACCCTATTAACAGATGACTTATCTTTAAGGGGTCTTTCGAACTATAGGCAAAGGCAGCCCTTTGAAAGAGAGAGAGAGAGAGAAAGAGAGAGAGAGAGAGAGAAAAAAGAACATGGATAGAAGATGCAGAATAAAAATTTACATCAGCCAAATCTTTACCTGCAAAGAACATAGAGAACATAGTGTGATTGTACACTGGTAACAGACTGGTGGCATGATCATTCTAAATCTTAGTATTGCCTGAGGAAATACAACCAGTCACCCTGAATGTATCCCTATAGGGAGGCTTCCATAGAATTGTTTTCTGTCCATAAAACAATACATTGGATATCAAGAAGGTTTCTTCCTTCCTGGGGTACCCTGGGCTCTGTTTACCACTTTCATTGTCCCTTTCATACATTTTTCAAAGATGAATAGGAGAGACCCTGCTCTCCACTTCTAGACCACCTGGAACTTTTCTTCACTGGCATGGCCACCTGCAGCTGCTTCCAGAACCTGCCCTGTGGATACTTGGATTTCTCCCCTTTCCATTTAATGACCGTGAGCACCGTCTTAGCCCTCTTCAGCTCTTTCACCTTCATCTCCTTTACAGCTTTGTACTGTACTAAAATGACGTTGATGTTTCCCCGAGAGGCCATGTTTTCTAGGCCAGCCTTGAGCTCCAGGAGGGCTTGGGTTCCCTGGAGCACGTAGTTGGGGCTTAGGACAACCAGGAGGCGTCTGCTTTTCTGAATGAAGCTCAAGGTCTCATCTGTGACAACTGGGAAAGAAAACACCATGGGGATTAGTGTTGGCCAAGAACTCCCCAAAAAGCATGGGGATGGAGGAGCAAATGTTGGAAACTTAGGGCATCAGCCTGAGAATGGAGGTGAAACTTCTGACCAAGAACGCTTTGAACAACCTCATACTTAGATGCTTTCACACTGTTCACTAAATGTCACTCTCCTCAGGAAGAATAGAAACTATACGCACACATTCCAACCCCAAAAGAATTCCACACAGAACTGAAGACAATGTGCTTCCATGACATTGGTTTTTAAAAGTATTAGTTGGGACATCAAGGAATATAATGGTGGTACTGAAAAAAAAAAATTCAAACCATGTGGCATGTTGTGTCCTATCCAAAGCAGCTCCTGAGCCTTCTCCCCACAGATATCCATGCATCAACTCTCCAGAGCCCATGAGCATTCAGTAATATATACACTAGAGAGTACAAAATCATGGAAATTCATTTCCACAGATATAGAACAGCAAGAGCAAGAATCTTTTTTTTTTTTAAAGGTCCCTCTCTATTATCAAACACACCCCAACTAGAATGTCATTCCAATAAGAACTTTAAAAAACATCTAGCCAATGTAATGGCATTTTGGCTGGCATCACTCCCCCCTTTCCCCCCAGCTCAGTTTTCTATTCTACTTTCTGCTCAGGGGCTAAATTAATCCCTGGATCTTTCTGCTTCAACTTCTATCATTATGAGGAAGCCATGTGTTTCAGAAGCTGCTGGCTGATCTGTCTGCCTTCACACCTGGCAAATGCTTTCTTCATGTCAGAGCAGAAGGGAGAGCAAGAAAATGGAAATGCACCTTTAATTTTATTTTGTTGTCAGGGGCTTTGAGAAGTTCCTGTCACTAAATTCTTGAGAGTAATCCAACTTGAGCTTGCTTACCAAAGACAGTATAACTCTTTACCTGGGGTTTAGATAGGAGTCAACTCCAAGACACTAGTGTTGTGGAAAACTATTTTGTGACTTACCATATTTTCCTAAGCCATCATTTTATTCCTTATTCTTCATAGAAAAAGAGGCAGTGGGGGAAACTTTCTATTAAAATAGCATGAGCAACCTGGAGGAGAATCCAGGAATAAGCAATTGTCTTTTCCAAGTAGTGTTGCTGGAGGCGGACCAAGCGTAGGCATGGTAAGAGGCCCAAAGGCAAAGATGTCTCAAAAAGAAGAGCAGGGAAAACATGAATGGTCACCAGGATCAACCATCAAAGCAGGATGCAAGAGTAATTATGTAGAACTTGAATTCTTCAAAGAACTATCAACCCCTATTGGAGGATCTTACGTTGTTATACTGTGAATCTTTGTATAATGTTTTACACAATAGATAAATATTTGTTGAATAGCTGCACTGCATAAATGAGCAAATGGGAGAGTAAATGATTTAGAACTTTAAGTCTTAAAATGAGTGGAATTTATACTGTAACCATATAATCAAGCCTTCATTTTCTGGCAAAATTATACTAAGAGACACAAGCAAGATGGACTTTTGGGTGATGATTTAGGAGATAATTGATCCAGCTATTTCAACATGAGAATAAATAAGTCTGTTCTGTATGAGGCTTAAATTGAGACTATTCACAATTATCCATATGACATTAAACAAAAACAAACATGAGAAGTGATTAATGTAAACAGTATTTTTTAGGGGGAGAAAATTAGTTTGTTGTACTGAATGTTAGAGACATGGCATACATTCTAACAGTACAAATATTAATAGTGGGTTTATGGATGCCATTATGTATTTATAAAACAGACTTAAATGAACCATCACCTTGTATGTTACTGGGTGGACCTGAAAATTAGAGATGTAATTTTATGTTAAAACATTCAGCAATTGAAGTTTCTTTTTTTTTTAACCTACTAGAATACATCAGATTTTTGTAAAATTTTAAACTATATCTGAAACATGGAAGCTGATGGGAAGGAAGAAACTAACCCAAAATAGTGCCAAAATTATCATCCATGATCTACAGCTAATGATCCCCTTTGCCTTGTAGGGCAGCATCACTTATACTCATCTGAATACCTACTTCCCCCAGGCAGACTGTCTCTGTCAAAGATGCACAGCTTATATCCAAATTCATTCTCCAAAACTCCACGGAGGGTCAGCAATACAAATTCTTCTTCTTCAGCATTCCTTGCATATGATACATAAATATCATATTCCTTCCCATCTAGAAAAAAGAACACAGATACAATAAAAATTAGGAAAGTTTTCTTAAATCCAACTTTTGCAAATTAGACAGCCTCATTTTTTTTACATGTATGAATTACCTGACAAATTTCAGTGTGATTTTTTTTTCTAGGTAAAATGGTTATTTTAAGGTGTAATTAATAAGTTTTATCTGATGTGCCTTCTACTCTCCTCTTACTGAGTTCAGTTTCTATGGTGGACAATAAGTGAGACTTGGCTCATTCAATTGTGATTTAACAGAACCAGAAAGTAAACAGTCAATCATAGGTGCTGGCAATTAATACCATGCAGAAGATGTCTACTGTCCTAGTCCTTCTCTCACTAACTTGCTAGAATTATAATATAAAATGAGCAAACCTTTTAGAAATGGTCCAATTACATCTGAAAATAACTATAATTAAAAATATATGTAGGTTCAATAAACCAATCTTTCCCAATGTTGTCTAATTATAAAAATCATCTCTTATTAAAAACATAAGTTCTGTGACACTGCCACAAACTTACTGTCACCAGGAAATTACACACCAGAACAATATTGCTTAAACTTCAATGAGTGCATGAGCAACTTAGGAATAATGTTAAAATATAGGTTCTAATTCAGATTAAGGGTTTGGTTTAAGATGCTGCTTTCAATAAGTTCCCATGTGATTCTGATGCTTCTGGTACATGAATCAGCCCTGAGTACAGAGTGTGGACCTGCATTGTCCAAGACAATAGCCACAACCAAAGCAGATACTGAGCACTTGAAATGCAGCTGATCTGAACTGAGATGCACTGTAAGTATAAGATTCACTACATACTAAAGTTTGAAGATTTTTTAGTACCTAAAATATCTCTATTAACTTAATATTAATTACCAGCTAAAATGTTAATATTTTGAACATCTTAAGTTAAAAAAATACATCATTAAAATCACTTTCCCTTTCTTAATATGACAACTAAAAAATCTCAATGACATTTGTGACTTGAATTATAGTTCTATGTGGACAGTGCCAATCTAGACTATGTTCCATTTTGGAAAAATAATAATATTAGAAAGATTTTCAGTAGTAAGGGCTGAAACAAAAGGTAGTACGATTAAATGTTCCAGGAAAATCTAGATTTTTTCAGCCAGCGTGTTTTATAAAGATGACACTAGAAGAGATTTATATCAAACTCCCGTTACTCACCTAAAATGGTTTCATCTGTTCCAAAATGAGCTCGGTAAAACAGCACCATCTCCAGCCAATAAACATGGTAAACAACAATGAGAATCACCATGAGCAGGACTGTGATTCCAAACCCACAGGCCAGTTCCACTGTGTATCTTGGAGCGATCACTGGAGTAAACAACAAAGAAACAATTGATGTCTATGTGGTGATCAGAGTAACCCATCATCCTGCAAATAGTTGGATAAGCTAAGCAGCTGAGCCAGGCACCTGATTTGTGTGTGTGTGTGTGTGTGTGTGTGTATGTGTGTGTGTGTGTGTGTGTGTGTGTGTGTGTGTATGGGTCAGCCACTATGTTTTAATTCTACATGTGTAATATTTATCTTTTTGTTTTCAGTTATTGGCATAGAAGGCATTTTTAACCATTAAATGATTTCAATAGATTTATGATATACAGAATCTTTTCCTTTGGGAAGGATTTAGAGGTTATCTAATTCAATTTACAATTGAATGACAGACTTCCTTAAAAATGTTTTTGAAAATGTGTTTTTGTTGATTTTTAGAGAGAGAGAAAGGGAAAAGAACAGAGATAGCAACATCTGTGTGAGAGAAAAATCTATAGGCTGCCACCTATACACCCTATTGGAGATCAAGCCCACAACAAGGAACTTGAATAGTGATCTCTTGATTCATGAGTAGATGCTCAACCATTGAGCCATACCACCCAGGCTCAAAAATATTTTCAAAAAGTATTCATCCTCTACTTTTCCCTTCTCTTGAGATAAAAATATTTATTATTACTGGGATCACCCATGATGCTGGTAGAGTTTTAATTGTTGGAGCAGTTAAATGGAATAAAATCTTCATGTGTTTCCTTCCATTTGTCTTAATTTTATCCTCTTGTCCAATGCCATATGGAAGAAATTTAATTCCCTCTCCTTTATATTTGGAAATAGGCCTCCAAAATTTTATTTTCATTGAGCAGAAACAGAGGGTATGCACCAAGTGCTCAGTCAGTGCATGTGGCTCTGAAAGTATCTCTTAGGTCTACAGTTCTAGGATACACAGTCCAAAGTCTGACTTGCAATATCAAGGTATGGACAGATTTTTAAAAATATATATATATATATTTTATTGATTTCAGAGAGGAAGGAAGAGGAAGAGAGAGAAACATCAATGATGAGAGAAAATCATTAATTGGCTGCCTATTGCATGTCCTCTACTGGAGATCAAGTCCACAACCTGGGCATGTGCCCTTGACTGGAATTGAACCTGGGACCCTTCAGTACACAGACTAATGCTCTATCCACTGAACCAAGCCAGCTAGGGCAGGACAGATTTTATTGTATTGCAATTTGTGTGCAGTTTGCTTTTGCACTCTCTCCCAGTCCCCAATAAACTACATATGTAGTCATCTAAATGTGTAATTTAGTGAGTACAACTTCACAATAGTATTGTAGAAAGATCTCGGAATTTGGAGTCAAGGAGCCTCAATAATTCCAGCTGTGAACAAAATTCTATTATATCTCGTCTCAGCAAACACCAATTACAATGTTTAATTGCTCAAAGATGACTAATCTCACCATCCTGCTAATGAACCTCTCCTTCACAGCTGGAATTATTGAGGCTCTCTGACTCTAAATCCAGAGATCTTTGCACAACACTACTGGAAGTTCAATTAGTGGCCATATATTAGTGGAAAGGTCTCTTTTAAAATAAGTATCTTATCTTAAGGGGAAATGGAAAGCAGCTTGGAGCTCAGCCTAAAGTTCTCTAATTAAAGGGCAAATCATAGTTTTAAGTTCATTATCCTAAACTCAGCATACTAATCCTGTGGCAGGTATAGCCTGGAACTCAGCAATGTAGAATTATTATGGAGTATTATGGAGTTTGCATGCGTTCCATAAATAATGGTGCTTTAAAATAAGAAAACTCCACTATAAATGCCAGGTGCTATGTCAGTGCAGTTGTTGAGAATTTACTAAGTTCAATTTGGATAGCTGGCATGAAAATTGCTGTGTCCTAGGTATTTCTGAGTACATGTTATGTTAACAGCACACTGGGGTAATTCCCACTGTCATCTTCATTATTTGTTCAGTTATTTTGGCTGCCTCTGGGTTGACATTTTATAATAGGAAGAAAAAGAAAAAAAGAAAAAAGAGGTCAGTGGATGCAGTTACCTGAAACGGTTTTTTTTTTCAAACATTAATAGATATCAGCCCTAGCTGGGTAGCTCAGTTGGTTAGAGCATTGTCCGGATATACCAAGGTTGTGGGTTCAATTCCAGGTCAGGGTACATACAAGAATCGACCAATAAATGCACAAATAAGTGGGAAAACTAATTAATGTTTCTCTCTCTCTCTCTCTTTCTCAAATCAATCAACAATTTGAAAAATTAAATAGACACATTGCTTAATGATCAAGAGTTCAATTACTCTCATAAATTTCCCGCTGCCATCTTTCCTTTGTTAGTGTCTATTTTATTTCTAAGGGCTTTTTAATTTTACTTTGTATCATACAATTACATGTACTGTATTTACAGATTGTATTTTTAGGGCCATTTAATGATATTAGGAAGTTCTTAATGCTATTTAACTGAATTGTTTTTTTAAATATATTTTATTGATTTTTTAGAGAGAGGAAGAAAGAGAGATAGAGAGCTAGAAACATTGATGAGAGAGAAACATTGACCAGCTGCCCCCTGCACACCCCCTACTGTGGATGTGCCCACAACCAATGTACATGCCCTTGACTGGAATAGAACCTGGGACCTTTCAGTCCACAGACTGATGCTCTATCCACTGAGCAAAACCAGTTTTGGCACTAACAGAATTCTTAAAATAAATAATCCACATAATAAATAATTCTTAAAATAAATAAGCCTAAATTACAAAGTGGATTAAATCACATACAGAAAGTGTTCTAAAAAAGCTTTCCCATAAAGCTTTGCTGGCATGCAGGGATGTGTGACCCTCAGCCCACATTTCCTGTCTGCCCCATTTGTAGTTTGATGCTTTGGCATGGAGACTTTACTCTGATGCAATCCCAGTTTAAAGGGTATTGGATTAGGAAGAGATGATGCATTTTGATCAGATTGGGCTCTGAAACAGCTTCTCTATTTGGTCTCACTCATAATCCGTTTCAAGATGTCGCCAAATTTAGCCACTTGCTCTGCTGTTACTCCCTCCATCCATTTTACATTTCTACAGTAAAAACTAGCTCCGAAGCCTAAATTTTTAGCTAACTACTCTTGGTGAAATCAGTCCAACATCATAACTCTAGTATTTTTTCCTGTTCCAGGTTATGGGTTTACATGCTTGTTTCTCCTTGGAAACCTAAGCTACTCTCATCATCATCATTATCATAGCTGGGATCTTGCTGTCCTTTGAGTCTACCAACCAAAATGCCAGCTGCTTGGACTTCCAAGTATTCCCTCCTACTCTTTACTAAATTGCTTGGACTTCTCAATACTTCTGGAACTGCAGTGGTGATAATTTTCATGAATTACAAAGAAAATGCTTTATTTAAATTATAGTAATGCAGAAACCTATGACTCAATTGACTTGCAGACCTGACTTGTTTACTACCATAGTGCATTAAAGCTTGCACATTCTGGACCTCTTCTTATCTCAGAGGAGTAATTGGTACTAGAGTAGCCTTCTCTCCATCAAGTCCAAAATAACCAGTAGTGTAGGAGTGTGATCTGCAAGAGAAAGGGCACACAAAAGGTGAGCCCCAGGATCACCCTGGCTAATAGCCTGAGGGTACTTTTTGGACCTGCAGCACAGAAGGGGAACCCACAAGTACATTGGTCATGCTGAGTTGAGGCAACAGAAATTAGAGTTCAGGATTTGAACATGCAGGCCTGGGTCCTGATGGAAAGAAAACTGTAGAAACAGAGTGTTAGAAATCTACAGGCATTTGGGAAAATACAAAGTTTTGCATATTAAGGGTGACACCTTCACCAAGGTCAGACAAAGAATAGCTGTAGTGAAGGGGAAATGATCAGGGAAGATACAGCTACTAGAGAGCTGGGAACTGAACAATTCTAGGAGCACATGCAGGAGTGGGACACACTTGAGTTAAGACCACTCAATTATTAAGTAGAAATCTCAGGTTAATAGGTCCGATCCTGCCTCAGAGAAAAGGCTTACTGTAGCAATGATAAGCAAGATGCTTCAGAAAATAAGCAAGCTGTTATATAAGTAAATTAACCAACTACTAGAACAAAACACAAAATTCAGATACTCAATAATGTAATATGTATAATGTCCCACATACATTTAAAAAATAATGTAGGCAGAATAAAAAGAAAAAAAAAGACCCATAATTAGAAAAAAAAAATAGCCAATATAAACAGAACCAGCATTGACAGAGCTGATGGAATTAGCAGATAAATGCTTCAAGCTCAGGATTGTGACAATAGAGGTGACGGACACAGAGGAAGTGACAGCAGCCTCCCCAACCCTCCTGAAAGGCTAGACCCCCAGGGTCCCCAGGCTTGCCTGTGTTCCATGTCCAACAAGGAAGCAACCTTTGATGACACAGCGGAAGAACATGTGATCAATAAAATGTACAAGATGTGGAAAAAGAACACCCCTTTTTTTACTATTTGGTGAAGACCCATGTGTGGAGTGGCCCATCCTAACTGCATAGTAGCTTCCAGATGTAACCAGACCAGCAGGGAAAGATTTCAGCATTCATCAACTTGTCTAGGGACACACAGGTTGGATAAACAAAACCACTTTGTGACAGCCAGCGTGCAGCTCCCTAACTATGATGCTCTGTTTGATGCTTCAACCTGTAACAGCGAGAAAGGAGAACTTGGAGGTTTTGGCTCTATAAGTGGGAAAGTTGAAATAGAAATCAAGATCACTCATGAAGGAGAAATAAAAGGACATGTTATATGGACCAGAAATCTTGCATCATTGCAACAAAGACTCCATCTAATGATGTTCTTGTTTTTGACAATACAAAATAGCCTTTAAACCAGTTCCTTCTGGAAAGTGCAACCCAGACATGTGTCTCTGTGGACATCAGAAGAAAGGCTACAGCTTTCTTGAAGTGCAAATTTCAGTGGGCAATTATTTAGTATTTCAGATGACCACAGCACCTGTCTGTAGGACATCAGTGCTATGCCAAAGGAAGGAAAAGTCATGGATGTGAAGACCAGCTTTACAGGGTATGTAGCAGTAGATGTTTCCTTGCTTCTGCTCCATGAGTCTCTGTTTGGGTAAGTTGCTGATGATCAGAAACTTATAACCTAGGATATTCGTCCAAATAATATAGTACTTTCAAATCAAGACACTCAGTTGATGTCACACTGCTGAAGTGAACAACCTTTGTTTCAATCCTTATAGTGAATTCATTCTTGCCACCAGGATCAGCTGATAAGACTGTTGCCTTGTGGGATCTGATAAATCTGAAACTTAAGTTTTTGGTTTTTTTATTTTAAATATATTTTATTGATTTTGTACAGAGAGGAAGAGAGAGAGATAGAGAGTTAGAAATATCGATGAGAGAAAGTCATCGATCAGCTGCCTCTTGCACACCTCCTACTGGGAATATGCCCGCAACCAAGGTTCATGCCCTTGACCGGAATCGAACCCGGGACCTTTCAGTCCCCAAGCCGACGCTCTATCCATTGAGCCAAACCTGTTTCGGCTGAAACTTAAGTTTTTTTGAACCATATAAGGATGAAATATTCCAGGTTCAGTGGTCACCTCACAAGGAGACTCTTTTGGATCCAGAGGTATTGATAACAGACTGAATGTCTGGGATTTAAATGAAACTGGAGAGGAACAATCCCCAGAGATGTAGAAGATGGGCCACTGGAGTTGTTGTTTACATGGTAATCACACTGTTGAGATAATGGATTTCTCCTGAAATGTCAATGAACTTTGAGTGATTGTTCTGTGTTGGAAGCCACTATCATGCAAGTACAGCAAATACCAGAGAACATTTATAATGACCAGGATCCTCAAGGACACATGGATCTAAGACAGGGGTTTTAGATACGTTCTTGTGATTTTAGACTGCCGTTCTTGTGATTTTAGACTCCCCTGTTATCACTCAATATTGAGATTGATTTAATGTTGGTTTTGAGACACAGACTTTGATCAGCTATCTTTCCATAATAGATACTATCAACAATGCTATTAGCCCAAACAGATGGTGTTTTCTAAATATTAACTTGGGGGACTTGATTCAGCAAAGCCACAGACTTATTTTTAAAATTTCTTGAGAACTTTTCTAGTAACAAAGATATAAAGTAGCCACCAAAAAGGGAATATTGTGTGTGGTTATTTTACTTTTCTTTCTTATCCTATAACTCCAAGTTTTTCAGACTTATTTAAGTGAAGCCTAGAAGTGAGTAAGGAATAAAGAAAAGTGAGGTAGGTGCCTGAGGCATGAAGTATAAGTACTGCAAGATATTGTTTTTATTCAGAAATTAGGGGAGATTGAAGTCATACAAATTCTGTATCTGAAATCTTCACACCTGTGTTTCCAGGATGCACATGTTCCTGTGTAGACCCGTCTCATCTCAGTTTTGTGAGTTAAATCAAAACTACCTGTTTTTCTTTCCCCCACCCATTTTGACAGTTAGTGTACTTCTTGAACTACTTTAATGTTATTTGTTTCCTTTCTATAAAATTTAAAACAAACATACACACAAAGCTTGGAATAATTAAGCTGTAAAGATGTATGTTTTCCTTGACAGGTACACTATCCAATTTTTTCACCCCCAGTAGTTAGTTCTTGACCACTAGTTTGATACTATATCTGTTTTGGGTGACCTGTTTCACCAGCAGGCCTACGACTAATTCTCTATGACTAATTGTATCAGTAATTATAATGGAATAAATAAGTTTTCTACATAAAAAATAGAAAATGAATATTATAAATATTTTTGTTAATTTTTTTTAAATATTTACCCAAGAATATGTTTATTGATTTTAAAGAGAGAGGAAGGGAGGAAGATAGAGAGAAACATCAATGTGAGAGAGAAACATTGATCAGTGGCCTCCTGTATGCACCCTGACCAGGGATCAAACCCACAACTTAGGTTTGTACCCTCCAGCAGCCTAAGCATGTGCCCTGACCAGGAATCCAACCCACAACATTTTGATGTACTGAACGACACTCCAACAAACTGAGCCACTGGAATGGGTTGCTATTTTTTCAAAAGACCATCAACAGTGTAAGAGCCATTAGGAAATATCAAAATAGATGTTTTGATAAATAAAAATTCAAAAACTAAAAATGATATTTTCAAATTAAAAATGCTGCAGATTTGACATTATAAATAAATGATCAGTGATCACCAGAAACTATCCTAAATGAAATACAGAGGGGGAAAAGGAAGAAATAAAGAATAATGAGAACCTCAATGATTAATGGGACAACATCAAGTGTGAGTGCTCTATCCTAAGTTTAATTGCAATACTAGAAAGAAAGAAAAGAATGAATGAATGAAAGGATGAGCAAAACATTTACCCTTTGTGACCACATGAATGGACCTGGAGAACATTATGCTAAGTAAAATAAGCCAGTCAGGGAAAGACAAGTAACATATGATTTCACTTATATGTGGAATTTAATGAACAAGCTAAACAAGTAGGCCAACATCTTTGGGGAGTGTGTGTGTGTGTGTGTGTGTGTGTGTGTGTGTGTGTTGAGAAGTATTCAGGAGGTGGAGGGATTGAGCAAAAAGGAAAGAACTTGTGCAAATGGTGTTTGTGGAGAGAAGAGGATGGGTAGAGGTAGAAAAGTGTATTGGGGGATAAGTGGTGATAGCATGGGAAATAAATAAATTAAAATAAAGGGGAAAAAGAAATAACAACTAAATTTTTTTCAAATTAAATTTAAAAAAATGTACTCACCAAACCAAGAAGTTTTAAAGAACCCAAAATAAGATATATGTACAAATAAAAATATCTCAGAGGATATAATAATGTAATTTTGAAAATCAATGAAGAATATTAAATCTATTCTATTGGATACAGTTATCACTTCACATTTCTGAGGCCAGTCATACTAAACAATCTAGCACACCCTTCTGTGAAAGGGGAGCTACTCCACTAGCTCTGGTGGATAGACTTCTGCATAACTCCTAGATTCAATATTATTTCAATTGATTGCATTGATCTTATCCACCTGACAATACATTATTAATTTATGTCAACCTTCATAAAAAACACATGCCTCTGAAGACAAGTCCCACAGAATGTTCCATGCTTAGGAGTCATATATACCTGAAAATAAATCTTTCCTACTATGTCCAACACCCTGCAGATATTCATACCAAATGATAGTATGCTAAGGGGCCCTGAACTAAAGTAATTTGAACATGTTTTTAACCTAGACTTTAATGATACTGACTTGACTATGCAAACCTTTGTCAAATAACCCTATGAAAATCTGTGGAAATAGTAAGAACTAACATTTATTATGAATTTAATATATATGTATAGATGCCAGTAACTGCTCAGGACTTCAAAGCAACTTTATGAGGTAGTGGTATTATTTTGCCTACTCTAAATATAAAGAAATTAAAGCTCAAAGAGGTGAAGTGTCTCTTCCAAAGTCATGGAGTTGGGTGCATAAAAACCACTTTCTGAACATAGGCCACGTGAGTCTAGAGTCTTGGGAATGTTCTTAGGAAGAAACTTTGGGAAACACTGTCTTGAACATATGGTTATTTTCTCTTTACATTGACTTCTGAGGAAGAGAGGCAATTAATTACCCAGAACTGATCTACTAAAACTCCTTAAGAGATTTTTCAACCTTTGCTTTTTAATTTCAAAATTGTAATAAAAATGTTACAGTGAAGTCTGTTGTGTTTTTTTTTTTAACCAGCTTTTAAAATGATTTGAAATGTAACAATTTTAAATTAACTTTTTTTAAACTTTTGATATAAATATTATGGGCACTAACAAGAGGATCCCAAATAATTCCGAATGACTTGGCTGCAGATGTGATAAATCATCATTATCTGCCTCCAGATTATTGGAAAGCATTCTTGAAGATATTGTCTGTTATTCTGAAAGAACCAAAAATATGTTAGACATATTCTGTTTCAAGAGCAACAGCTCACACAAGAAAGCCTCATAATTTTTGTTTATTGTAGAAAAATATAGTAATATCAACATAGAAATCATTTTACATCATTTAAGTCATAGTTTAATTTTGTGTTACCAATTGTGGCTAATGGTATATTATAAACTCACTTGAATACTGATACATAGTGTATAAAGTGATAATTTTAAATTTTTATTTTCAATAATAAATATTTTACATTTCACTTTACTTGCATACAATTAGATGGTTGCTACTTATGTTTCATTATTATAGCTAATGCTAAGAATATTGATTGGGGCCATGATTCTTTGTGTTATTTATTCATGAAAGATTCCAAAAATACTAATTTATAGAATATGATCATTTCTATGACTCTTGAACTCTGCCAGCAATGATTTCTGAAAGGGATTTTACAATTCACTAACAACATGTGACTCTTTTATTATATCTTTGGTAATTTTGAATATTTTCTTTATTTTTCATTTTCATGACTATATAGATAGGAAATTATGCCTCATTATCATAAGCATGGATTTTTAAGCCACAATCAGGCATTAATTACTAAAATTATTTTGAAAATATTTGTATAGACGGAAATTTCTCTCAAGATTTTTCATTCAACTTTGATTCATGACTATGTGGTAGATGTTGTGGTAAGTGTTGGAGCCCATGTTCCCAATTTCTCCTCTTTTCCTTAGTCACCAAAATGTTACGTTGGAATTCCTAGATTCCTCTGCTGAGGGCATGCATCCATTACCTTTCTGTTTAACCGTGGCTGGCTGCTCAACCTCCCCTTTGCCATTTCTAGCATGACAGACATAGTTGCGTTTGAGATCTTCAGCCCTAACTTTCTTGATGCTCAGAGTCACAGTTCTTGTTTCATGTTCCAGTGCATCCAGACTCACACTGGAAAGAGGGGAAAGAAAATCAGAGCATTAGTGAGAATCAAGGCCCATGTGCTGTATGTGAATCAGTCAAGCAGACAACCAGAGAGCCACCAGGTGAGGGCAGATAGAATGGCCATAAACTGCATTGCATTGTAATCCAATGGTTACAAAAACTCCTAGATTCCATTCTATTCCTTACCACCGATACTAGACACAATCCCGATACCTGGAACAAATCCCAGTGTTGGCGTCACACTATAGATATAGATCTCTCTAACTCTCTTCAAAGCAAAATGTAAACTTTCAAACTTCTGAGGCAGGATGCTATCTATTAGTATATTGGTTTAGAGAGAAGCTTCTGATGCTAGACCCATTTGGATTTTGATCCAGGCTTTGCCACTTACTGGCTGAATCCTTTTGGCTGAGTAACTAATTTTTCCATGTTTTGAGAGGGTCATTTGCAAAAGAGGAAAGTGGCAATGCTTACATAGTACATCAGATACACGAAATTAAGAATTCTGAGGGCTGAGTATAATAATATGCAAGTATTAGAGCAATACTTTAGGAATATTCATATTATTCATATAGCTATTATGATTTCTCAGTAATAACTTATGCATTTCAGGGACCCCCAAAGCTTTGATTTTTAATCCAAAAAGACTTTCAGTCAAAATGCAAAAATATCATGGCTAAGTCATATATATATATAAAGAAGAAATTTCTGAGTAAATAAACCTTGTGAGCATAAAGATATCTAAATCTAAGGAAGTCAGAGATCAAGTACTTTGGGTCCAAGACCAAGATTTAAAATCCTTTTGAATTACTTTTTTACAAAAAGAAGATAAAACAACAACAACAACAACAACAACAACAACAACAACAAAACCGCTGTTATAGCTGACTGATGGCCAGGTTCTCCTTCTGATAACATTTGCTGTCAGTTCTCGGAACTTTGTAAAAACTATAGTGGGTTTAACCCAAGTTTAATGGCATTGCTCAACTGTAAACAGTGAGCTGTGTTTTATAGCAGTAAGGAGGAATGCCATGACTTTCATTATTATTCAATCATTAGGACAAAAGCACAATCCTCAGAATTCCTCCAATGATCAATAATTCTCCCTCTATACTTCTAGCCACGTCTTTCATCAATTCCTTCTGCAAATACCACTCCAGTCTCAGCAAACTGCTTCTGTACCTTTAAATGTGTTTTGCTTCTTTGCATATGATGTTCCTTTTACCAGGAACATACTTTGGATGCCTTTATCTAGTTTATTTCTACTCATTTTTTTCAAATATTTATTTAGGTATTGTGAAATCTGAGAACATTACCTAATCCCCCCAAATGGATTGGACTCTCCAACTCAATCTTCCCATATCATGTAATTCTTCCCGGCTATTGCACTATCAGATTAGAGTATTGAACTTTTTACTCTACCATTGTTACTCCTATTGTAGTAGAATCTACTCAGGTACCTGATTAAAAGAAAGCATTTTATGATATTTGCACAAAGTCTAAGTTTACTACTAGGGAAAAAAACATTTTGCATTCTAGAAGTTTTAGTACCCTAAGATCTAATTACACATTGGTGATAAGGCTTATGGGTCTTAGAACTTCTTTGTTAGTAGTTGGTCTGCTACTAATTTTTATTCATTGTTGCATTGAACTGATTGCTCTCGTAGTTGTATGCTTCATTATGGGGGATCCTTTGTCTTCCAAGACTCATATTTTCCTCCTTGCCAACCCAACCTCCTTTTTAAAAAGTCATTTTATTTGAAAACAAAGTAACCCAACATGTTATTTTAAGAGTGAAGTATATATTGCCACCCCATCTACTTTAAAAATAAAATCTAGAGATTATGGATGTATTGAGTCATGAATGTTTCCACTCAAGTATTGAGTAAAAAATCACTATCAATGATAAATGTGGCATATGTGTTATGTGAATTAAGAAAGAGAGAAATACATGCTTTCTGCAAGACTAGAAACGAACACAATAATCTCAGAAACAAATGCTTATAGACCCAAACTCAAGACTTGAGAAAAAGAACAAGGCCACAATGACAGGATTCTATCTCTGTATAATCTTATATTGTGACCCTTTCACTCATATAAGATATGCATTCAATCCATTATCAAGTAGGTGTCATAAATGGGTGACCATCAGATGGCACCTGGGCCTTCATTTACAAGTCTAGGAATCCTGCCTTGGGATGCAGCCAAAATCTTGCTGATTTTTGTTGTGAGAGGCAAAAATTAAAATTTTTATTTTCATTGATTGGTACACAGCAGAGTGCCTTAGATTGAGGGACAACATTATTCACCCTCCTGCCTGCACCAATACCTTTCATCAATGGTTACATCAATAGTGGTGTCATCTGTCTTCTTCCCATCGATGGTCCACCAAACCTCGTTGCGAGAGTCCTTCAGGTAAGTAAAAAAGACTTTACAGGGAATGAGCAGCTCCTCTCCTAAAACAAACAAACAAAACACGTTAACCCTTTGGTTTGTAACCTTCGCATGGCTCTATTGGTTCTACTCTGTGACTAATCAGAAGCTAAAAATGTTACATGAATCTGTAACCCTACTTCTAGTTCTCCAGTGGGCTACCATAAGGTGATGTACCATACCTCACTGCAAAACAAATCAAGAAAAGAAGCAAAGCAGCTTTATATAAAATTATGGGAATGGCCATCTAATAATACAATTCATGTATGTTATACAATGTATTTGTTCAAAAAGGCTCCAACAACATCCTTTTTAGCCCTAACCCTGGGTCTACGCTCCTTTGTTAATCGCTCAGAAGCAAAGGAGGACTGAGAAAAGATTCTCCAGATCTTTGGTCCTTGGCCCAGAGGCAATGGGAGGTGCCAAAGCTGAGAGGCCTGTCTGGACAGGCCCCACCTGGATGTGCTTCGTGCTTCAATTATCTGGGTTGCGCTGTTTAACCTAGGTGGCTTCCTGAAGGCTTTTGAAAAACCGCTTTGGGGGGGGGGCGGGGTGTGGAGTTCTTTTCCCTCCAGCAGCCACAGACTCGCCACCTGGGAGCTGTCCAATCTCTCCCGCACCCAGTCGGATTGAGTCTGGCATGCAGCAGGGGGGACACCAGGATCCGTTGCTTGCTGGTGGAGGTGGGGTGTGGACGCCTCGGAGCTGGACAACCCGGCCCCCAGCGTGCTGTCCGCCTGGAGGCATCCAGCTGCAGACCCCGACTGCATCAGTGGCAGGTGGAAAGCGACCCGGGTGGCTGAGGAAATGAAACTTGGAGCAAGTACCATGGGTGCAGTCCCATGACCTTCCCCTCCCGGGGTAGTGCTGCGCTCCCTAACCTCCCACCTGCCAAGAGATACATGTGGATTCCCAAAGAGGCAGGGCCAAGGAGCTTCAGCTGGAAGGATGAGAGGAGTTTTGAAACCACCACCCTTTTCTCTAAGACTGCGTACTCCTTCCCTAATACAAGTTGCTTGAAGTACAGGATGGTTTGTGTTTAGATGTGCATAAATATGGGGAAAGCAAAGTTTTGTGCTTTAGAATAAGAGTCTGGAGTCTTGGGGGGTGTCTCTCTCTCTCTCTCTCTCTCTCTCTCTCTCTCTCTCTCTCTCTCTCTCTCTCTATCCCTCCCTCCGTCTTTCCCTCCCCTTCCCTGGCTTGGCAAATCTTCAAGCAGAAAGTTGACCCTAGCTCCTCAAAATCCACCCTCACTGCAGTGGCTTGTAGTTTGTTTTGTTTTGTTTATTTTTTTCTCTCACAAGGATTTTTTTCTAACCTCTAAACTGACAGTTGGACATTCCCCAAGGGGTCTCGGATTGTGAGTGACTATGTCATAGCTTATAAATGGCTACACCCCACACACAGTTAAACAAGGCTTCTGCAGTATTTAAAAAAGATCTGTGGCTGTTTAGTCCTAATTCATCAGAAGAACCTCCAAACCCTCCACATCCTGTTTATTCTACATGGGGGTGAACATGCATCCCTATATATTGGGAACAGTCCCTGAGATTTAAAATTAAAACTTGGCAAGGCTACTCTAACACTGAAAAAAACAGGATGATGTAGAGATGACATGCATGGACTCTGGCTTGCACATTGTGTGGTCAGCCCTGATTCTGACACTTATAACTGTGTGACAGGGCATAGGCCAGGCTGAGGGACCTCCTTCCTCCATCCCCTCTTTGCAACCATGCATGAATTTTATGCACTGGGCCTCCAGTATCAATATAATATAGAAGATAAAGTGACATTGGAATCAGGCATGCTTTTGCAACCATAATGTGATAAGTATATGGGATATATCTATAATAGATGATTAATAAGTGTTTACCCTGATTGCAAGAAGAATGTTTATATTAAGAAAATCTGGTCCATTGGGGTTGCATTCTTTGTGTTTTTACAAGGCCCACCACTGTTTGAAACCTTATCTTAATGTTGGGGGTACTGTTGTTCTCTACCTATGTTGATCACTGCCTCTGTTAACTTTAGTACATTTTAAACAAATGTTCTTTTATAGTTTTCAATGGGTTTGTTTTGAATTTTTGTAAAAGATAGAATTCAGAAAATTTAAAAATTTTCTGCAGTTCCCAGCTCACCTCTGGAGAGTCTGAGGCAGAATAATAATAAATAAATCATTATTATTATTTAATCAGTTACAAGTGATTTTTCCCTGGAATGAAAAAAATCTGAAAAATAAAAAGACCCAGATGACCATAGCAAATATTTCATAGTGTTCTGAAACAGGATGTATTTGTTGTATCAGCTGTTACCTATTATATTCACAGTGCTGACTCCAAGCTTTAACCCTGCCCCTTTGTAGTGCAACAGAAATTTGATGGATGCCTTGTGCTCATGCTACAGGCTTGGCAAACAAAAAATCTGTGTAAGCTACAGTTTGCATCAAAGAGAAATCCCTCATCAGGAGAGGAAACCTTTCCACAGAGGAAGAAGACAGCAGCAGCTGCTGAGAGAGAGAAGCAGAGAATCCCTGAGCTCCCCATGAGATTCAGAAGGTAGCTAATGCCCAGAGCTACCCTGGTTTCTTACAATATCAATTTAAATTCCTGGTGTTTTTTTGTTTGTTTGTTTGCTTTACAATAGCCCTCTCTTCTCTTGTGTTAATTTCTGTGACATTTTATTCCTTACTAGAGTCCTGGTGCATGAATTCGTGCATGGGTGGAAACCCTGGGCCTGGCCAGCAATTGGGGCCAATCCAGACTATAGGAGGTTGGCCAGGGGAGGGGTTGCAGGAGGTTCTGATCAGGGCCATTGGGGTCAGCCAGCTATGGGGAGGAAGGGACCATAGGGGGTTGGCCAGCCTGGGGGAGTGACCATGGGAGATTGGCCAGCCGATCCTATTGGGCCAATCAGGACCAGCCAGCCAGGGGGAAGGACCACAGGAGATTCGCTGGCCTCAGGAGGTTGGCTTTGGGAGTACACTGACCACTAGGGGGCAGCTGCTATGTTAAGCATCCACCCCCTGTGTTGAGCAATTGCCCATCATAGCAACCAGTTGTTCGGTTGTTCAGTCGTTCAGTTGCTTAGGCTTTTATATATGGAGATATTTAAGATAATATAACTGAAATTCAGAGTCCACAGTTGTAATTACCTGGTTCTTTCTTGTAGACCACAAGATCATTGGGTAATTGGATTTGGGGGGGCAATACAGAGTTTGGAGAGCCTGTGAGAGAGCAAAGAACAATGGGAGATGATGTTAAGTCATGAAGTCTTTGTCCCTGTTAACCTATTTCAAAAATATTCTCTTCTGTGAAGCCTTGCCCAACCTTCTGGCATGGTTTGCCAATTTGTCTTGAGAAGAATTGCAGTCAATAAGTCTGAAGACAATTTACACATAGGAATTCTACATTATCCTTTTGAGATGGAATATATTCACTATAGAGTGGACTATAACATTTTAACTATATAAAACAAGCAAAGAAACAAACACAATATGTTGATTATCCTCCATATTTCAGAATAGAATGCTTAACCAATGTTTTCACTTTCCAAAGCTTATATGAGATAGTCTTGTCAGACTACAGCATAATTAATTGCTCTCCTGTTTTTCTCAATTGTTTCTTTTCTACATATTTCTCTTCAACATTCCTAGAGTACCTTGTATAAGATCTAATTATGTAAGTATCAAATGAATAAATAAGTGAAAAATCCAAAAATCACAACTATCAATCCAGTACCTAAAGGTACCTGATATCCAGTTATCGGTTAAAGGTTCATTCATAGTATTAATGCTCTTTATAGCATTCAGTATTCTTAAATTGAATGAAAAATATCCTGAAGGAGATTTGTATTGTATTATTTAAGAGTAGAGGCTTCAGCCCTAACCAGTTTGGCTCATTGGATAGAGTGTCGACCTGTGGACTGAAGGGTCCCAGGTTCAATTCTGGTCAAGGGCATGTACCTTGGTTATGGGGACAAACCCAGTAGAGGGCGTGAAGGAAGGCAGCTAATTGATGTTTCTCTCTCATCAATGTCTCTAACTCTCTATCCCTCTCCCTTCCTTTCTGTAAAAAAAAATCAATTTATATATATATATATATATATATATATATATATATATATATATATATATATTTTAAAGAGTAGAGGCTTCAAAGATTTAATGACCAATAGGTGTTCTAATCCCAACTTGGTCATTTACTAACCACATGACTATTTTTTAATAAATCGCTGAAAAGCTAATTTTCCTCATCTCTAAAATGAGAGTAATTAAATTCATTTTACAAGTTCATTATAAGAATTAAATTAAGCCGGGACCAGTTTGGCTCAATGGATAGAGCGTCGGCTTGGGGACTGAAGGGACCTGGGTTCGATTCCGGTCAAGGGCATGTACCTTGGTTGTGGGCACATCCCCAGTAGGGGGTGTGCAAAAGGCAGCTGATTGATGACTCTCTCTCATCGATGTTTCTAACTCTCTATCTCTCTCCCTTCCTCTCTGTACAAAATCAATAAAATATATTAAAAAAAAGAATTAAATTAAGTTAAATTATCTTAATTTGGGGGTATTGTTGTGATATATATTAACTAAGTGATGCATTAATATATATATATATATTAGGACCAACTGCCAACATGAATATAAAGTTAGATTATTCATTTGACTTTTAAAGTCCATTCATGTTAGGCTCTAAATTTAGTCTGATTTTTCTTTTAAATTAGTCCCCACCTCAACACTATTCAGAAAGTAAGCAGAGAAAGTGGTTACAAAAGTGTTTGATTTGAATTTCACTTGCACTATGTTAAATCTGTCTTAAAAAAAAAACATAAGCTGAATCTGGTATCAGACTGGTAGAAAAAGCCTTAAACAAAAATAAAAAACCTGGGGTTTAGAACAACTTCTACCAATGCAGTGAATGTCTCTAACTAAGCTGGTTGCTTTCATCCCCCCCTGGGGGGAGGGGGAGGGGGAGGGGAGTGCAAATACCTTGTACTAATGATTTATAGAAATCTTTAAAAAGATAATAAATTGCCTTTTTTTTTAAAAAATAATGGGGTTTGACAAAATCTCACTCTGATATTCTCTAAGTTTAACACAGTGGGCACAGTGGTATTTAGGGTTCTGCTCCAAATACCATATATCCTGACACTGGTTCTCTTGGCTGTGGGTTTCACAGAAATCTGTAGACTCTGTCTAGACATTGTTCTTTTCACTTCCCCAGTTTCTCATCCTCTCTTCTTTCAGTTCAAACCAGGGGTTGGACACTGCATAGAAATACCTTGAACATTAACTACAACAGCAGTGCATAGAAACTCATAGTTTATTTAATTCTATTAAAACAGATTTTGGACAATATTATTACTATTCATTACTATTCAGAGTCTCCACTGTTTGCCTGTATTTTATATCTAATATTCTTAGCTATCCTGAATGTTAGGGAATCTAAGTCCCAGAGTACAGTTGAGGAGTCTGAGACTTTGACCAAAATCATATTGCTCTTAAATGGCAGCAGCATAGTTTGGACACATATTCACTCAACAGACCAATAGTTACCAAATGCCCACTATGTATGTAGAAATGCTAGAGGCTCTGGGGAGAGTGCAATAAACAACAACAAAAAACAAACAACAAATAAAAAGCTTTTCCCCCCTTTCACTGATTTTACAAACTTGTTTGTAATAAACTATTAACAGAAAAAAAAAAACCAGAAGATTATTCCATTTTTATCCTTCACACTTGATACTAATCATGCTTACCTACAACCTTTACAGCCAGAGTCCTGGTTAGATTGAATGCACGCCCATTTTCTGGATATGTAACAACGCACGTGTAATTTCCATTATTTGAATACAAGGCTAAGAGGAAACTCAAGTTCATGCCTTCAGGTATTACATTATGAAAGCCCTGTACTTTTCTACAGCCCTGTAAGAAGTAAAAGAAATGTTTTCTATTTAGATACATGCATAGAAAATAGACAAGCGCATGCACATAGGTAATTTTGCACAAAATATATAAATATTTTTGCTAGCTACACCTTTTACTAAGCTATTCTGCTCAACTATTTGATAATGTTTCTGCAAAGATTAAATGCATTAAGTTCTGTTATCTTTCCTGCAAAAGAAAATTAAAGTTCTGAACTGAGATATAAATTCAAGAGCACCAGCTTCCTGTCTGAGCATCCAGTATTTGGATCCTGCGAGTCTCATGTTAACAGTGAAGCAAGGTTAAAGTATTGAAAAACAACTAAGGTAACTTAACTGCTTGTTATACTATTTTAAAAAACACACAATTATTTTTCTTTTCCTACATTTCTTCACTGTTTATATTAATTCTGGAATCAATCACTGTGCTTGAAAAGTAGGCTTAATTTAGATGTCTGATTTTTAAATTCTTGATCATTCTGTTGCAACACTATATTGGTCATGTACAAAATGTTTGGTATTTTTCTTCTATTTTTCCTATGCTGAAATTGAATATCTCAGACTCCAGAATTTAAAAACAAAATGTATTTTTATGAGTCTTACCAATAATTAAGCCCTACCAGCATGGCTCAGTGGTTGAGCATTGACCTATGAACCAGGAGGTTATGTTTTAATTCCTGATCAGGGTACATGCCAGGATTGCTGGCTCCATCCCCAGTGTGGGACATAGAGCCGATCAAAAATTCTCTCTCATTATTGATTGTTTCTATCTTTCTCTCCCTCTCTCTTCCTCTCTGAAATCAATACAAACATACATTAAAAAATAATTCATTTATGACAAAAAAAATTAAATATCTCTAAGTTCCCTTAGTTCTTTAAAATTATGTGAGTCTGTTACTGGCTTGTACTCTTAACTTCCTAAATTCACATACTTAACTTTAGTTCTCATATACTTAAGGTTTTCTTGCTTCAATTCCTGGAACGGAGCATATGTTTTGAAATATGACAGTTACACAAAGTGGTACATTTTGTAATTCTTTGTAACAGGACTATGTCTTTTAAGATTAGCACTAAAAAGATGATTCATGTGGGTTTTCATCACAAGGAAGCTGATAAATGCTCAGTTTAGGGATTTTCTAAATATAATTTATCCTGTTTTGATAAAAGTGCTTCTAGACACTTGTCACATCAGCCAAGGTTTCAATATTCTTAGGTTATCACAAAGTATAAGGCCACAAAGGCCTGTATTCATAATGAATTTATGTCAGATTTGGTTTAAATCAAGTATAGACTATCTAAAGAATTCTATTTGAGTTTTGTGATACCTTCTATTTAAACAGTTCAAAGCTATTTTCTCTCATTTGTTAGCTTTTCTTAAGTCCTTGCTAAGTAGACAAATCAGACTAAAGTATGTTATAGTTTTACAAGTGGGAAAAAATGAGATAGAAAAATGAAGATATATTCCAGATAACACAGTGCAGAGCTAAAACTCAGTTGTCTAGATAGCTCAGTAAAGGTCTTTAACCAGCTTCTTATTTATTATTATTATTATTATTATTATTATTATTATTATTAGATGCCTGGTGCACAAAAGTTCTGTACTCTGGGTTTGGGGATGTTGAGTAGAGAGGTCCCTCAGCCAGGCCAGTGCCCTCTTGCAACCCGGAGCTCTTGGAGGTTGTCCACCTTCCAGCTTAGTCCTGCTCCCTGGGGGAATGGGCGTAAGCTGGCAGTCAGACATCCCTCTGGCAGCCTGGGAGCCCTCAGGGGATGTCCAGCTAAAGGCCTAAGCTGTTAGTGGAACATCCTTAGTGCTGCTGTGCAGATGGGAAAGACTCTGCCACCACTGCTTCGCTGGCCAGCCATGAGCCAGCTTCTGGCTGAGCTGCACTCCCCCTGTGGAAGCACACTAACCACCAGGGGGCATCTTCTGAGTTGAGAGTCTGCCCCCTGGTGGTCAGTGCACATCATAGCAACCAGTTGTTCCTGGTCCTTTTGCCTTTAGGGTCAATTTTCATATTATCCTTTTATTATATAGGATTATTGTTTGTTTTTAACATGTTTTTATTTATTTCAGAGAGGAAGGGAGAGAGATAGAGAGATAGAAACAGCAATGAGAAAATCATTTATCAGCTGCCTCTAGCCCAACTCCTACTGGGACCAAGCCTGCAATCCAGGCATGTGCCCTTGGCCAGAATAGAACCTGGGACCCTTCAGTCTGCAGGCCAACACTCTGTCCACTGACCCAAATGAGCTTTAACTAGTTTCTTAACTAAGAATAAGCACCTCTGCTCAACACTTAGTCGAGACTGGAAAAATTATACTGAGAGATATACTTACACATACCACATCATCTCATCTAGGATGACCTTTGTTAATAGGATCATATAGTTTTCGAGTGTACATTTCCATGATACATGATCTGTATATTGTATTGTATGTCCACCATTCATAGTCAAGTCATTTTCCATCCACCAAATATTTGGCCCCCATAACTAGTTTTAACCAAAAGAAATTAAAATTTATTTCAAAGCTATCAGATCTATATAGCATGCAAGAAAAGGAAATGAAGGAAATATTTTACATTCAGAGCTGCATGTTTGGGGTGACTTTAGGGCATTGTTGAACCACTAACTTTGGCCTGTAGTGGGTGATGAGCTCTGTTTCTTATAAGCAGATACATCTCTAGACCCTTCAGCACATAGACCTGAGACACATGGAATATTTTAAACTATTCTTGAAAATGAAGCCTGGAAATTTTCTTATAATTTCAAAATAATTTATTTGGAACCCAGGGGAAAAAAAAAGTGGAACAAAGATCTGGATATACAAAGAATAAAAAACAAACAAACAAAACACACACACACAGTATTTCCAAATGCAAGAAATCAGTTAACAGTAAGTGGATTTCCACTATGAAGCAAACACTTGTCTGACTAGAAGACAAATTATCCATTTAGCTGATCCATCAGTTCCTCATTCTGAATTCAAGAGAGAAGTTAAGCAGGAGAGCAATGTTTCAATGGCATAATGGTAGCTATGGCAACCTATCATGACATATAGGTAAGGAATGAGAGGAAATACATCATGTGGTGAGATGTGGGGTGTTATTGGGAGGATATCTTGACTAACCAAGGACAACTATGTCCATCCCATACACTATTCAAGAACTGTGAGGGTACAGAGAATGGAAAGGACACGATTCCTAATCTATAGGCATGTACAGTCTCATGGTGAATTGCAACAAGTACTCTGAAAGCCATATCAGGATCAGGGAGAGGGGGAAGATCAAACAGAAAACATTCATAAAAACTTCACAGAAAAGAAAGATTTGATCTCTATCTTAAAAGATAAGTAGAATATTAACAGTTATTAACTAGGAGAAGAAATGTGGTAGAGCAGCACACAAGGCACAGGAAAAAGCTGTAACTTCCCTGAACTCTGATAGCATTTTGCTTTCCGTGTCAGAACTTAACTAACTTTATATTATTTTTTTATGTTGTAGATTTTTTTCAATTGCAGTTTACATTTAATATTATTTGTATTAGTTCCAGGTGCACAGCTTAGTGGTAAGACAATCAAATACAAAATGCTCCCCTCAATATTTTTAGCCCCCACCTGGCACCATACATAGTTATTATAATATTATTAACTATATTTCCTATGCTGTACTTTATACTTAACTAATTATATTACAATATACTATTTTTGTGTTGGTCTCTTCCTCTAGAAAATGTATGCCTGTGGGGACAAGACAAGATAGTGAATGAGTACTATACTTCATGGCCAACAGCTGGCAAATACTTGGCACATGGAAAATGCTCAGTGCATTTGTGCTTCGTGACCAAAAATATGAATGAAAGAAGCAAAGACAAAAGACATGGACTTAAAAGCTTCATGCAGTACAAGAAGATGACTATTCAAAATATAAGAAGTGAAATATGAGTGAGTTGTAGGATGGAGGAAGGAGTGAGAGTAAGGATATAAAAAGTTTAATGGAGATATAAGGTTAGAAAAGTTAGGAATATCTATTGAAACTTTTGCAACAAAGATAAAATTGGCATAAAATACATCATACTTATTTAAAAATCCTCATAAGAGCGCTTACCAGTCACTTTAATGAACAAAACTAAAGATATTTAAATGTTTAAGGAACTAATATTTATAAAATCCCTTTGAAAGGTAGGCACTGTGATAAAGACTGGGCATAAAGCAGGCATTAAATACAGAAATGGCCCTTTTTCCCATGGAACTTTCCAGTCTAGTCCAATTTATTCAATTATTTAACCAATTTCTAAATACAAAGTTCATGGGCTTAGCTTTGTGCTATGTGCTTGATATTCAAGGGAAAGAAAAAGGAGAGGTCACTAGTACAGACGAGAGAAGTACAATCATTATAGTAACAAAAATGAGAATTAAGTTAAATGCTATCAAAATAGAAAGTGGATGACTCATTCAGCCTAATTAATTCTCAATTCAAGTTGATGTTGCTGGCCTGATCACCCCTAACTGCCTCTGCTTGCCTGATCAGCCCTAACTGCCCTCTCCTGCCAGCTTGATCTCCTCCCAACTGCCCTCCCCTGCAGGCCTAAACTCTTCCCCAACTTCCCTCTTCTGTTGGCCAATTTAGTTCTGATTGGTAGGTTTCTATGCCAGTCAGTGTCAAAAGCTTTGACTCCTAGGCAGCCATTGGCTCCTCACAGTTGATCCAAATTTGGTTCTGATTGGTCAGTTTCTATGCCAGTCAGTATCATAAGCTCCACCTCCTAGGCAGTCATTGGCTCCTCACAGTTGATCCAGATTTGGTTCTGATTGGTCAGTTTCTATGCCAATCAGTGTCTCTGGGCCTATCAATGGGGCCTGAACAGAAAGGCAGGGCTGATCAGCAGCCCTGGTGGAGGCCTGAAGAAAAATGGAGGCATGGCTGCTGATCAGGCCCAGAGCTAAAGAGAGAAGCAAGTGCTGATCAACAATCAGACCCTGCTTTTCTCTTCAGGCCTT